AGCCGCAAGAATGAGTCAAAGATCCTGGACTTTGACTGGAAAAGAACCAAACAAAGGTGGCATCAGAAGAGAGTCAAAAAGGTTAACCTTTATGACTCTCGGATCGGTAAGTCCCGTAAAAAACGGGCTAACGTCAAGCTAGTGACATTAAAGAAGCGCTTCTTGGGAGGCAACCCAAGTAAATAAATTTTATTTTTTTCTTTTTCCTTTTTATGCGTTTTTGTGTGTTTGTGTGTGCAGGTGGAGTTTGGAATTAGGTTTGCTGGTGAACCATTTTTGACTCAACAAAAAAAAAGAGGAATGACTAACTTTTTTGCACAATTTTGTAAAAACCTTTTTTTTTTAAAAAAAAATTGAGATTATCTCTGTCCCAAACTCTTGTTTTATCGCTTAATGACTTCGAGGGCGAGGTCAACCCTAAGTGTGGGGAGATTGGAGTTTGGTACAGAATATTTTGTGTAAAAAAAATATTATTGATTAAGGCGAGAGAACGATTTCTCAAAACAGTCCAAGAAGAACGCCAACTGCTCCAAACCTAGAAAGATAACAAACAACGCGAATATTGGGAGCATGTGCAAAAGATGCTGGAGGACTTTAAGAAGGCTATGGAACAACAAGAAGAGATGGAGGAAATTTTTGTTCTAGAAGAGGATGAAGAATCTGAGACAGAATCTGAAATTGAATCCAACAATGTCTCAATTCTTGAATACCCACAAACTCCATCCCCACTGTATATCGAGAACAAGATAACACTTGCAGAAATGATTGCACGAGGTACAATGGTGATGCTTCCTGAAAGCCCACGAAGTTTAATCGTACAAGATGTGAAGCCTACCGAGGGTCCTGTCTCGGAACCGCCTTCACCAGCTGCACCAGAAACGTTGGAGGAACCTGTCCTCCTAACATGTGTTGAAGACACTTCTCCAGAGGAACCTGTTCTGGAGAAATCTAAGCCCACCACCAACCCCCTTGATACTGATGAGTCTGAACAACCTATAGACGAGGAACTACCCTGTGATGCTGAGTCCATTCCGTCTATAGGAGTTCTTAATATTGAAGTCTCACCGGAGGATTCAGACGAAGCCTTCTTTGACTCCCTACTTGACGGGTACAACCATTCTTACCTGAAGGAAAGTTATAGTCAAATAAGCTCGGACGAACTTTTGATGAGCGACACTGAAGACTCAAGGGAAGGCGATGCCGTAATCATCGAACCACAAATAGAAAGTTTGCCCATTGAAGACTTGGAAAGTCAGATCCTGGCACTAAAGGCCAATGATGTGGATACACCGAGGAGACTCCCACCACCACCCATCCAAGATGAGTCTCCTCCATTTTTCCTGTTGCCACCAAGCCGCAAGAATGAGTCAAAGATCCTGGACTTTGACTGGAAAAGAACCAAACAAAGGTGGCATCAGAAGAGAGTCAAA